TATCACTAAAGAGTTATAGAGGATCACTATAGGGTTACTCTACTAATTTACTGCCATAAAACATTTAGAAGAATGGCAGTGTTGTGATAGCTAGCCTCAAAACCAAGAAGACCTGGAATCAAGTCCTTCCTTGGCTACATATTGGCTTTATAACACTGGGCAATTCACTTATTGACTCAGAGCTCTAAATAATTCTTTAAGTTGCCTCTATAAGTTGCAGAGGAAGTGCTCACCTGAATTGTGAGAAAGAATTTCCTCACCTGGGAGGTTTTCTATACTCATAAAATTACAGACCTAGTCACTCTGCCTAATACAATTAGAAAAGAATGTTTTACTTTAGAAAATATTTAGGGCATCAGGTACTGGCTTCTGTTTATTTTTCTTCCAAGCTTTTAAAAAATACTTCATATTGACTTTCAAGTTTCTTTTGGTAGAAACACGGATTTATATAATTTGAATAAAATTATGAAACCTTTCAAAATATCAGAAACCAGGGCTTTTGAAATATGTCAAAACATCACTAATCTATTTGGAATGTGTATATGTGTTCTAATCTATTCATTTCCCTTAAATTTGTTTTGAGATATTTCCACTTGGCTAAAAAAATGTTTTAATTCAGATATCTGTCATCAAATGTGTGAATCATAAGCTCACAGCAAAGATTCCATTCAGGCTGTTAGATTTCCAGTAATCAAACTCTGCTTTACATTCGACAGTTGGAATTTATTAGGGATATTTGTATCAAATAGAATTATTTCTTTACTCAAAATTAGGAAAAATCAGAAATGAGAGTGCAGAAATGAGGCAAATAAGATTTTGGGGAAAATATGATCCACTTTTTCAAAATTCCCCACCCGTCACCTTTCTATCCATTTTTTTCTCTGTTCCTTACACACACACACACACACCATTTTTCAATACTTCATGAAATATATAAAATTTTAACTTGAAACTTATGTAAGAGGAAAACTTCATGGAAAGCAAGAAGTGTTCAGATTTGAGATCTCATATGAGAATTCTGTAACTGAATTTCAAAGATAATAGAACAGCTGCCTTTTGACAAGGAAAACTGCCATCTGGAAAAGGACAGGAGATCCTGAGAACTAGTCTCCAAATATGTGCTCAACCAAGGAAATACCTGGACTCTGTATGAAGCCTGAGAGCCCCAGGAGGAAGACAGAAGTTGAATCACAAAGAATGGAAAACAGGGGAGACTGTCATTTCATAGCAATATGTTAATAAGTGAATGGAACGAGCACTCATGGGGTTGCTACAGTCCTTTGCCTCTCTTATCATCACTCCAGATGCCACCAAGAATGGCTCGGCCAATATAATAAAGCCAAGTTTATAACTATGTGAGGACCAGGGAGGGAATCAACTCTATGCACTATACTATATGGGTGTTTGGTTGAGGGCTTTGTGATCTGCAATGTGAAATACACCCCATGGAAACATAGTGTGTGGGAAATTTACTTTGTTTTGCTCCTGCCGTAATGCCCCTTTGTTACAGGCATGGAACCCTTTCTTGAGTGGAGGGGCTGTATATTGGATTGCTCTACAAATGGAATGAAGGAGGCTTTTCCATCCCTTTTCCACTGAGTCCTCTAAAGTCCTGCAGGGGCTTTCACTAGCACTTTTGCAGATGATCAGTTAGACATATTCTAGGGAGGTAATGTTTAGTGACTGTGGCCAAGTTTTCTGTCAAAGGCAAAATGAAAAAATAGACATGGAACCAGGCATTTCTCATTCTAAAATATGAATTCTAGGGGAAGAAAGCATGGGGTGGAGATGCAGGTGTTATGGCATAAAGGTTCCAACATCCTGATAAAGAAGAAGACTTCTGTGTGATTTAGATCTGTGTCACACCAGAGAAAGCAGGTTAACACAGCAAGCAAACAAGACTGAGGCCAGGGTTACCACACAATATGGCCGTATATCAGATTTAGAGTCATCTTCTTGCCCAGTAGTCAGCCTCCTTTTCAGAGTTTGTTTCTATCATACTATAAGTGCTCTACAGCTTTGGGAAAATAGACTTGTCATGAATGAAACAGTGATACATTAGATGGCAATCTTGCTATTTTGTACTAAGGAATTGTGAGACCTGAGTTCTAGTTGTCTCTGTTAGTAATTAGCTGTGATCTTGGCTAAATCTATACATTTCTCTAATTTTTCTTGTGGAAGCTAGATGGTACAATGGATAGAGTAGAGCATAGGACTTGGTATCAGAAAGATCTGGGTTCAAATCCTACCTTATACTTACTAGCTATGTGACCCTGGGTAAATCACTTAACCTTGGTCTCAGTTTCCTTATCTGTAAAATGGGGATAATTAGCACCTCGTAGGGTTGTTGTGAGGTTTAAATGAGATAAGAATACTTTTTAAACCTTATCAGTAGCAGTATTTGCTGTTGTTCATTTTTTTTGTCCTACTCTTTGTGACCACATTTGGGGTTTTCTTGGCAAAGATACTGGATTGGTTTGCCATTTCTTTCTCTAGCTCATATTACAGGTGATGAAACTAAAGTAAATAGCAGTAAGTGGCTTGCCTAGGGTCATACAGCTAGGAAGTGTCTAAGGCTGGATTTGAACTCAAGTCTTCCTGGTTCCAGGTACTCTATTTTCCTCCGGGGAACTCTATCCACTGCACCATCTAGCTGCCCTTACTATTAGTAGTAGTAGATGTAATACCAGTAGGGAAATGGAGATAAATCAAATGTTTTTAAAAAAGTGAGATGTGAAAGTGTTTCATAAAGTATGATGTAGCATTCTTAAAGTAGTAGGTATATTTATTTGCTCCACAGAAGTGTAGCAAATTAAAATATGTCAAGAAACATGAGTAAAGTATGCCTAACTGCTGGTCCAGCTATGAAAGCTATATGTAGCTAGCTAAGCAGTTATGCATAGAACTCCCAAATCAAATATACCAACTACCTTTCCTGAGCCTAACATTGTATTGTAAGAATCAGTTTTAAGATCCAGCAAGCTCCTGGTTAGGATAGCTAGGTGGCACAGTGGATAGACTACCTGGCCTGGAGTCAGGAATCTTCCTGAATTCAAATCTGGCTTCAGATACTTATTAGCTGTATGATCTTGGGCAAGTCACTTAATCCTGTTTGCCTCAGTTCCTCATCTGTAAAATGAGCTGGAGAAGAAAATGGCAAACCACTCTGGTATCTTTGCTGAGAAAACCCCAAATGGGGTCTCACAGATTGGACATCACTGAAAAATGACTGAAGAAAACTCGTGGCTTGCTTTTTCTATTTGAACTAAATGCCATTTGAAATTTACTTCACAGCTTTAGTACTACACACAACTCCTTTCCCTACTCAAAAGACTAGTGTTTCCACAAAAGATTCTTCCCAGTCCATTACAGCCCAGCCTCTGCTTTGGCCCAAATACAGTTAAGTCAAAGGGTGACCTGAGAACCAGCTGCATGATTGGATTACTGGAAATGGCTTTCACCTGGACCCATCTGTGTTTGATCCCCAGTCACTGGAGAATTGGCTTAGGTACAGTACTCTATTATTCTTCCCAGAGGAACGACTATGCACAAAAATATATAAAAATCACATTTGATAAGGTTGAAGGGGCAGAACCAATGAAAAGGTGAAAAGGATTTCTTGAGTTCCCTTACACCAAAAAGAGAGACAGTTGAATCAAAGCACTTCCATCATTCACCCTAATCCTCCAAGCTCCTTGGGTCCCTTTCCCCTTTGGTCACTGTGCCTTCTGTGTAATACAGACAGTTATTTGGTTCCCCACTGCCTCTTGGCTTATTCCTTTCCACTTATTGGTTGCTGAAGATACAGCACATTGCAAAAAAAATACAGGATGCTGTCAGCTGTCAAATGCTTCATTAATCTAGTCTGAGTTGGAAAGGCATTGAGAAAACACCAAGTACAATAGTATCTGTCAGACCCCTTCAAGCGTTTTTTGAAAAGTTTCTATCAGTCATTTGTTTTACTCTTTTACTGAACTCTGTCCATCGTTTAGCTACAAAATGGATGTTTTCAAGGTACAATGCACTCTTTCTATAAAGCTGTTCTGAAGAGTGAACAACTTTGCAACCATAAAAACCTTTTTACTTGGGGGGGTGGGGGTGGGAGAGAAAGGGTAACCAATTAGGCAAGATCTTATTTCTACAATCCAAGATGTGCCCGGTAAATGACAGATTCATGAAACAAAGCTGACTATGGAGAGATTCGACTGAGAACAAGAAACATCAAAACCACGAGAAATCTGTTTCTTAGCGTTTATCTTCCTTTGTGAAAGTCTTGAAATCCACAATTTCAGATGCCACCTCAACAAAGGTTTTAGCCCCTATTCACATGCCAATGGTCACTAAATGCATTTCTGGAAGAGTATACTAGTCATAAAGTTAGAATACAATTAAAAACCCATCATAAGCAGACAAGGGCTTGAACTTACTTGAACTACAGATGGAGAGCTTCATCAAGTCTCCTTCTGTGATAACAACATGGATGTGACCATGCTTTTGCATATATTTCATGCATTTTCAGGTATTTCAAGTGCTATTCCAAAAGCAATCTCTCTAAACAGCTTGTTCACCAAATGGACCACCTTTAATACCATTTAGCATTGATCTACGATTATTTATTTAAATGATGTAGGTAAAGTAATATTCTACCAAATCTCAAGATTTGGCAACTCCATGAAACAACTCCAGAAAAAAAGTATATCTTAAAGGCACTGGCCACCTTCACCAGTGAGACATGATAATGGTAATTTGGCAAGTTTTCAAAAGTTATCATCCCACACCGAATGTGTGTTGTAATAATTATTCATGGCCATTGCTGTCTTGTACTTTTGACCATCAGGATGATCAGTTTTGAATGCAAATATCCTTAGTGATCATGCCATCATTCCATGGCCAAAGTGATGACATCACCTGAGCCTGTGAACAACTGTATTTTCACAGGAAAACTTGGCAAGCATTTTCATTGACATTTTGAATAAAGTTCTTGCCTTATTATCACTTACCGACCCAATTCCACTTCGGAGAATTTTCAGTCCTGAGGCTTTTTCAAGCTTGTCTTTGTTGTCAGCTGTTGGGAAAAATTGAGAAGCACCGTTGTCAGCTTCGTGAGTATTCAGTTCTCAAGATACACCTAACCTTTAGGTTATTTTTCCCCTGTTGAAAAATTCAATAAATTTACTGCTGATATCCTTATTCATCAATGGACCAGCTTTCATGAACAGCAACAAAATTGACTGTGGCATTAGTCTTTCACAATAAGTCCAACTAGAATGGAAAAATGGAATGTATTTATTCATTTCATTATGCTCCTCACTCTTTTATCCCTTCTTACCATACCCCTAGAAGAAATGCACTAGAATAATTTAGAGCCAATAAAGGATTCGTCCAAATTGGCTCCTGATTTAAAATGAAGAAGACTTTCAGGGAATGAATTACACTCAATAATCATTCCAAGAGAAATGAGCTTTGGAAGCAATTAGCAGATGTAAATGCAAACTTGGGGATCCTAACACTAACACGGAAAGCCCCGCCTGCCCCCACTTCAGTCCAAAGGAAGTTGTGTCAAAAGCAATTGACCTTCACTTATGATTCTGAAGAAATATTCCACTGGACAAAGCTCCTGTCATTTTGGAAATGAGAACCCAGAAAAAAAAAAGCATTGCATTGAAAACTCTGTGAATGAAGAATGCATTGAGATTGTGATGAATAGAGAAAGGAAAAGCAAGAAAATAGCAATTACTTTCACCTCTCAGCGTAATACACCTACGTTAATCTCGGGTAATGAAATTATATCTTTGAGCATGATACAAATGAGCTCCTGTTATAGCCTGCCATCTCCACCTTTAGGGTCTTTTCATTGTCTTATAGAAAGTTTCCCTTCAAATGAATGAACATCATTTTTACATATAGATAATTATATATACTGCAAAAAAAAAAAAAAGGCTGAAACAGACAAGAAACAATCCAGGTTAGAGCAAAGGCAATGTGAGAGTCTCAATAAGGACATTTAATTGGGATATGGTGAGGGCAAGACAATGAAGTGAATCCTGAATAGCAAGAGAATTTTTTTTTAACGGCAATTCATAAAGCAATCATTTTTTTTTAAATGGAGTTCCCATTAACAAAAGATAACAATTTCCTGAGTAGCAGTTTACTTCTAAAGATAATCGTTGATAAACTTTTACGATTTGGTTTAGGCTTAAAAGGCACAGAAAAATAGAAGATTTAAAAAAAAAAGCTCCCTTGTTATTACCAAGAGCAACTCGACCATAGGCTTAGAAATGAAAGAGGCAGCTTGTACAACAAATGTGTACTTCTAACTTTTTAAGCTAGTGCAATAACCTGCTAGTTGATTTTCCAGCCTCAAGTCTCTCTTCACTCCAGTCAGCTGTCAAATTGATGTTCTTAAAGTACATGTCTGACCATGTTCATATCCCCTTGCCCATCATTTAATTAACTCCCTATTACATCCAGGATCAAATATAAAATCCTCTGTTTGGCTTTTAAAGCCTTTCATAACCTGGCCCCTTTCCTATCGTTCCAGTCTTCTTACACCTTACATCCCTCTACACACTCTTCGATCCAGTGATATCAGCCTCTTTACTACATTCTGGGCACAACACTCAGTCTTCGAGTCAATGAATTTTCACTTGTTCGCTCTCATGTCTGGAATGCTCTCCCTCCTTGCCTGTCTTCTGGCTTCTTTCAGGTCACAGTTTAAATCTTATCATCTGTAAGAAGACTTTCTTAATCTATGTTAATGTTGGTGCTTTCCCTCTGAATTAATCTCCGTTTTATACTGTATGTATCTTCTCTGTAATCGTTTCCATGTTGTCTCCCCCATTAGAGTGTGAGCTCCTTGAGATCAAGACTTTTTTGGTGTTTCTTTGTATTGCCAAGTGTTTAGCACAGTGCCTGACAGCTACTTAGTAATGTTTGTTGACAATTTCAACCAACATGCTTCTTGACAAGACAACCAGTGGGGTTCTCTGAGAGCCAAATAGGCAATCTCCATCTATATTTCTGTCTAGAAGGAGAGAGACTTAACTAAAATTAGTGTAGGGAACTCATAGGTTAGGGAACTCTCTCTACTAATGTAAGTTGATAACCTTCTTTGCACCTTAAAGTCTTAGAGAACTGCCTAGAACACCTAGAAGTTACTTATCCAAGGTCACTTATCCAGTAGGAGTCAAAAGTAGGACTTAAACAGAGGTCTTGCTGTCTTAGAGGCCAACCTTTTATTCACTAGATCAGTTTTCCTCTTTAGATCAATCTACATGGATGTCCAATGACTTTTTATTTAAATTGGTCAGAACACCAAAGCTAGTTAATGTTGGGGAGGGAGGGACAAAGAACTCTGTTGTTGATTGGGGATAAACAAATGTAAATTTTGCACAAAGAAAGTATTAAGTGTATTGGAGACTGGCTCTTGTTAAGCCAAGCTCCCTCAGGCCTTGTAATTCACAATACTAACCTACTGATTATAGTGGGAGATATACCTATTCTGGGAAAAACTGTTTGGAGCATCCCTTTCCTGAAGTGTAAGCCTAGTGAGAACCTTATACAAAGCTTATATTAGTGAGTATGGAACCAGGAAATTAACCAACCAACGAGCTTTCAAAAAGCACCTACTATGTGTCAAACACTCTGCTAGGCACTAGGAATATAAAGATAAAACTATAGCATCCTCTGCCCTTGTAGACCTTACATTCTACTGGAATAGGAAAATGGGTGGTTTCATCGGTCGTTTGATTTATGTCCTTCCAAACCTAAATGAACACATCGTTTTCTCACTGTAGAGGGTATAACATAAAGAAATGGGGCCTGTAATTGAGATTCAACCACCCTAGAATAGAGTAACATACACGTCCTTTACCTAGGCTACAAAAGGCCAGAACAAAGTAAATACTCATGTGCTCATGTCCAAGATTTTTATATAATCTGGAATTGGGGATGGAAGCCTCATTAAATCTCAGTAATTGGTTTCCCTTTGAACTTTCTTACAGAAAAGTTGGCAACATTAGACTGAAATGAGTCACTGGGACAGTTATACAAGTATAACTGTACAAAAGACTTCTCAAAGGAGGTAAGAGGATCCTCTCTTTCTCTCCACCTAGACAAATTCTGCTGACCCTTTAAGGTCCAGCTCAATCTCCACCTCCTGAATAGCCACTATTTATACTGAACTTTAAAGGAACGCAGGTTGCCTCAAAAACTTAAAACTGTCTTATGACTTTTGGGACACCCTGCATATAGGCTTTAAATAAAGTAGTTAAAAAATCCCATTCACACTGATCTCTTCCTTCTCTACATTCCTACAGAACTGTCCTAAGAATTTAAGACAACTTAAATAAGCTGTATTATAGTCTATAATTGCATTTTGTATTAGCCCTCTCTTCTCAACTAGGACTCACCTTCCTGAGTTCAAATATGGCTTTAGGCACTTACTATTTCACCCTGGGAAAGTCATTCAACCTTTGTCTGCCTCAGTTTCCCTCATCTGTAAAAATGGGGACAATAATGGTAACTACCTCCCAGAGGTGTTGTGAGGATCAAATAAGTTAATAATTTTAAAGTGCTTAGTGCCATGTCTATTATGTAATAGTTGCTTTATGAATGCTTAGCTATTATTATTATTAATCAGGTAGCATTGATTCCCTCAGAAGTTCTGGCGTAGTGCCGAGTACATCGTAGGTTCAGAAAAAATATTTATTGGCACACTGATTCTTTGTTTGAAACTCCTAAGGAATTCGGAAAGTTTAGCAATGATTATATAACAGAATTCATAAATAGCAGGTAATAAATGGTCCATCCACTTTTGACTGACGGATTCACTGATTATTGTTCATTTCCATCACCATCATTTGTGTATACTCATGTATCAAAGCTATACTGAAGACAAATCTTAGGAAGCCCCTGAACCTATGAATTTAGTTTCATTAAGGCCCAAACTCGCTCTCTTCTTCTTCTTCCTATGATTTGACCTCAGCCTAACTAAGGGATGATTCATCTGGGCCAAGAGTTTGAAATTTACCCAGGGCTTAGCGGGCTGTTTTGCATCCAGTAAGAGGTTAATAAACATGTGTTGAATTGTATGTTAAACTCAAAGTAGCTGATCACTTTATTCCTAACTTCCTTGCTCTCTCTAGATTCCATTTCCTCTTAACCATCCCTGCTACCTGATGATCCAAGGGTGACTAACCACCAAAGCCTAGCAAAGGCAGGAAATGCAAAGCCAAAAGCTCACAGGAAAAAAACAACAACCACCACAGAACAACAACAAACAACAAAGAAACAACAGTCTGGGGTGAGATGTTGAGCAAATCAACCAACTGCACGGCCACCACAAGTTCCACAAAATGGAGGCTCCAGGAAGAACTCACCAAATGAGGGGAGAGTGAGCCTGGCAGAGGGATTCTCCACGAGTAGGCTCCAGGGTGGTAGGCTGTGGATGATGAGGATAAAAATAACAGCTTGTATTTATAGAGCACTTTAAACTTAACAGCACTTCTGTATCAATCATTTAATTTTAAGGCATAGTATTCAGGGAGAATCAGTAGGATTTAAAAGATAACTCGGTATGGACTAGAAGAAGGAGTCTAACATGACTCCTGGGTCTGAGTCTAGGAAACTAGGGGAATGCAGGTACTATTAAGACAAAACAAGAATTCAGGAAGAAGAGATGTCTTTGCAGGGAGGATGTGGTATTAGGTTTGGACCTGTCTAGCTCAATGTGCCAGTGGGACATCCAGGTGGAAATGTCAGATGACAGAGATGACAACAACTAGAATTTATATAGTCCTTTAAAATGTGCAAAATCCTTTGTATATATATCTTGACATTTCTACCTGGATATCCCACTGGCACATTGAGCTAGACAGGTCCAAACCTAATACCACATCCTCCCTGCAAAGACATCTCTTCTTCCTGACTTCCTGTTTTGTCTAACTGGCACCAGCCTTCTTTTGGTTTCCTATGCTCAGACCTGGAAGTCATATCAGACTCTTTATACTCCATATTGAATTATCTATTAAGTCCTACTGACTCTCCTAGAATACCATCTCTTAA